CGTAGCAATACAAGCCTCTCTCAATAAACAAGAAAGGTCTCAAATACACAAGCTAACCTTACACCTGAAGGAGCTGGAGAAAGAACAGCAAATAAAGCCTAAACCAAGCAGGAACAGAGAAACTATAAAGATTAGAGCAGAAATCAATGATATAGAAACCAGAAGAACAGTAGAACAGATTAAAAAAACCTAGAAGCTGGTTCTTTGAAAGAATTAATAAGATCGATAAACCCCTAGCGAGACTTATCAAAAAGAAAAGAGAAAGGACCTAAATTAATAAAATCATGAATGGAAGAAGAGCAATCATGACCAACACCAAGGAAATGGAATTTTAAGAACGTATTATGAGCAACTACATGCCAACAAATTAGGCAATCTGGAAGATATGGATGCATTCCTAGAAACATAAACTAGCGAAACTGAAACAGGAAGAAATAGAAAACCTGAACAGACCATAACCAGCAAGGAAACTGAAGCAGTCATCAAAAACATCTGAACAAACGAGTTCAGGACCAGATGGCTTCCTAGGGGAATTCTACCAAACATTTAAAGAAGAACTAATACTTATTCTTCTGAAGCTGTTTCAAATAATAGAAATGAAAGGAAAACTTCCAAACTCGTTCTATGGGGCCAGCATTACCTTGATCCCAAAACCAGATAAAGACCCCACCAAAAGGAGAATTACAGACCAATATCCCTGATGAACACGGATGCCAAAATTCTCACCAAGATACTAGCCAAAAGGATCCAACAGTACATTAAAAGGATTATTCACCACGACCAAGTGGGATTTATCCCTGGGCTGCAAGTGTGGTTCAACACCAGCCAATCAATCCATGTGATACATCACATTAATAAAAGTAAGGACAAGAACCATATGATCCTCTCAACAGATGCAGAAAAAGCATTTGACAAAGTACAACATCCTTTCTTGATTAAAACTCTTCACAGTGTAGGGATAGAGGGAACATACATCAGTGTCACAAAAGCCATACATGAAAAGCCCACAGCAAATATCATTCTCAACAGGGAAAAACTGAGAGCTTTTCCCCTAAGGTTCCCCAAGGAACACGAGGGATGCCTACTCTTACCACTGTTGTTCAACATAGAATAGAAGTCTTAGCCTGAGCGAACAAGAAGAAAGAAAAGGCATTCAAATTAGCAAAGAAGTCAAACTCTCACTCTTCTCAGACATGATACTTTATGTGGAAAACCCAAAAGACTTCACCCCAAAATTGCTAGAACTCATACAGGAATTCAGCAATGTGGCAGGATATAAAATCAATGCACAGAAATCACTTGCATTTCAATACACTAATGAGACAGAAGAAAGAGCAATTAAGGAATCGATCCCATTTACAATTACACCAAAAACCATAAGATACCTAGGAATAAACCTAACCAAAGAGGTAATGGATCTGTTCTCAGAAAACTATAGAACACTCAGGAAAGAATCTGAGGAAAATGCAAAGAAATGGAAAAACATTCCATGCTCATGGACTGGAAGAATAAATATTGTTAAAATATCTATGCTACCCAGAGCAATCTACACATTCAATGCAATCCCTATCAAAATACTACTGACATTTTTCACAGAAGTGGAACAAATAATCCTAAAATTTGTATGGAACCAGAAAAAGACCCCAAATAGCCAGAGGAATGTTGAAAAAGAAAACCAAGGCTGGTGGCATCACAATGCTGGACTTCAAGCTCTATTACAAAGCTGTCATCATCAAGACAGTATAGTACTGGCACAAAAACAGACACATAGATCAATGGAACAGAATAGAGAGCCCAGAAATGGACCCTCAACTCTATGGCCAACTAATCTTCAATAAAGCAGAAAAGATCCAATAAAAAAAGACAGTCTCTTCAATAAATGGTGCTGGGAAAATTGGACAGCCATATGTAGAAGAATGAAACTGGACCATTTTCTTACACCATATACAAAGATAAACTCAAAATGGACAAATGACCTAAATGTGAGACAGGAATCCATCAAAATCCTCGAGGACAACACAGGCAGCAACCTCTTCCACCTCAGCCACAGCAATTTCTTGCTACACAAGTCTCCAAAGGCAAGGGAAACAAAAGCAAAAATGAACTATTAGGACTCATCAAGATAAAAAGCTTCTGCACAGCAAAAGAAACAGTCGACAAAACTAAAAGGCAACCTATAGAATGGGAGAAGATATTTGCAAGTGATCTATCAGATAAAGGGCTATTATCCAAGTTCTATAAAGAACTTATCAAACTCAACATCCAAAAAACAAATACTCCAGTCAAGAAATGAGCGAAGACATGAACAGACTTTTCTCCAAAGAAGACATACAAATGGCTAACAGACACATGAAAAAGTGCTCAAGGGCGCCTGGGTGGCTCAGTTGGTTAAGCGACTGCCTTCGGCTCAGGTCATGATCCCAGGGTCCTAGGATCGAGTCCCGCATCGGGCTCCTGGCTCAGCGGGGAGCCTGCTTCTACCTCTGACTCTATCCCTTCTCATGCTGTTTCTCTCTCTCTCTCTCTCTCTCTCTCTAATAAATAAATAAATAATTTTTAAAAAAAAGTGCTCAACATCACTCAACATCAGGGAAATACAAATCAAAACCACACTGAAATACCACCTCACACCAGTCAGAATGGCTAAAATTAACAAGATAGAAAACAACAAATGTTGGCGAGGATGTGGAGAAAGGCGAGCCCTCTTATACTGTTGGTGGGAAAGCAAGCTAGTACAGCCACTCTGGAAAACAGTATGGAGGTTCCTCAAGAAGTTAAAAATAGAGCTACCTTATGACCCAGCAATTGCACTACTAGGTATTTACCCCAAAGATACAAATGTATTGATCCAAAGAGGCACCTGCACCCCAATGCTTATAGCAGCAACGTCCACAATAGCCAAATTGTGGAAAGAGCCAAGATGTCCATCAACAGAAGAATGGATAAAGAAGATGTGGTATATATATACACTGGAATACTACTCAGCCATCAGAAAGGATGAATACTTACCATTTACATCAACGTAGATGGAACTGAAGGGTATTATGCTGAGCGAAGTCAATCAGGGAAAGACAATTACCATGTGGTTTCACTCACGTGGAATATAAGAAACAGCACAGAGGATCATAAGGGAAGGGAGGAAAAACTGAATGGGAAGTCATCCGTTAACTATTAACTATTAACTATAGGAAACAAACTTGAGGGTTGCTAGAGGGGAGGTGGTTGGGGGAATGACATAATTGGGTGATGAGCATTAAGGAGGGTACATGATGTGATGAGCACTGGGTATTACATGCAATTGATGAATTACTGAACACATGTGAAACTAATGATGTACTATATGTTGGCTAATTGAATCTAAATAAAATCAAAACAAAACAAAAAGATAACAGACAGCAAATAGCAAATGGCATTTCTAAAAACCACACTATCCTCTAATATATACCTGATGTCATGTAAAACTGTAATTTGGAAAAAAAAAAAAAAAAGAGAATTTAATATTGCTGCTTCAGGACAGCAAAGGTTAAAGAAAAAATGTAGCATATACATTAGAAGCAGAAAAGATTAATGCATTCAATTTAGTAAAGAATGCAGGGGGGAGGGGAATAAATGATCAAACTAGATTCAAGTTAATGCATTAGGCTGTTCCTCCTGAGATTCTTGTCTGAAAAACTTTGTAGCATATGAGATCACATATTTAATGCTGTCTTTAAGGTAAGATTAAATGTTTATGGATTAAAAATGGCAAAGTCCAACTGCAGTGCTCCTTTAGTTTTTCCCCCCAGAAAGGTTCTTGCAATTAATTGTATTTTAAAAATAACTTATCATTCTTATAAATAATAATATCTTATTAAATAATAATAATTTGTATTATACAAATAGTATATTAAGTAAGATTTATATTTTGTTTGTGGGTTTTGTTGTTGTTGTTTGTTTTCTTAGTTTTATTACAATCAGGGACTATATGGTCATTTTCCATGGAATTTAGAACCTGCTAAATCATATAATGGCTTGACAAGATTTATATTTAATCTGGATTATGTATTCTTTTAAAAATAAATTTGATGTATAACATTGTTTAAAAAAGAGGAGCTATTTTAACCTTAACATTGTCCCAGCATAGTTAATTTAACGTGAATGTGCTTCATTCTGGGCCCTCTAGGAGGCAAAAACAATTTTTTTTTAAGTTCTCAGTACCAGAAAGGGATGGTCCTCTGTAGGTTAATAGGCAAGTATTTTTTAATATTAAAAATTCAACATCTGGAAATGTGGTTTGTACAGCATATCTTATGTGGGGCATAAATGTGTGCTTTAGAGGTAATATTTTTAAAAATCTCTAGCATTTTCTTAAATGTAGGAATTTTATTAGCCAGGATAATGCATCTTTAAATTTTCAAAAGTCCACCATATAGCTACTCCTATGCCAGCAGTTCAGGCAATCAATCCACTGCTGATCAGTAAACCTTGTGTGTAATACCAACCTATGATACTAGCCTGTCCAATAACAGAAACAAGTACAAATAAATGGTTCTAAAAATTCTGAGAGTCAACAGAGTATTTCCCATCCCAAGAGAAAAGAGCAAATCCACGGGAAAGAGAAAAGTTCTACCGAAAGATAGAATTTAAACTCATTTAATAGGTTTTTGCATGAGAAAAACAAACTTCCAAATGGTACAACTGTTCTGTTATACAGCTATATGCAACTATTTCTTTAAATATAAATGTTCATCATCTGACTGACTATTGGTATTAAGAAACACATCTATCAACAATTACAGAAAATCCTATTTTCTCCAAAATCAGGAGAAAGGCACTTTCATGTAGCACCTTCTTTTCCTGTTTGGTCCCAAGACTTAGATGATACAAGTTCAGCATCTAAGTAATTTATGTCAAGAACTATAGTAACAGTAAGATAATCAATGGTGAGTATTTCAATAGAATCTGCATGAGCTTTCTGAGTAACAATCAGACTGTAAAAAGGTGTTATTTTGTTGGCTTACCAGTTGTACTTTTGTTCCAAGGAAGTTCCACCATAAGTTCTAAATAATTTCTAGTCAGAGCATATTCTGGCATTGACTGAGGCATTTTTTTGAGTCTGTGGGGAAAGAATACACAGCAAAAATGTTCCATAACATAGAAGAATTCCCTAAAAACACAAAAATCCAGCATCTGCCTTTCTGGGTCAGATATATCATGCATATTAAAAAATCTGGAAATGTTTTTAAAAATCCGGTTATTTTGTTTTGTGATGTACTTATGGAACAAAATTAAAACAGAGAGCTGCAAACTGGAGGGGGCAGGGGTGGGGGAAGGAACACTGTATCGGATTCTGTCCTTGAAATATGATCTTACCAGTATCAGCATCTCACAGAGGGGATCTCAAGTCATACTTATCCATTGATATACCTATTACAGTAAGATTTAAGTGTCTAACCATGCATAACACAATAATTATATTTTTTGTATCAGAGATGAAATCAGCTCGTAAAAGCAAGCTAGTATCATATATTTAATTAAAAGATGCAACTTCCATAATAAATGCAGTGTTTAACAAAGTGTTCTGCCCACAACAGATGTTCTACATTTATTAATTAATGCCAGTCAATATAAAATATCCCTGAACTACAACTCATGTCCTTAACTGTGAACCTGAGAAAGTCAAATCTTTAACTACTGAGCATTCACTTAGGTTCATTATAATTTACTAATAAAAGAAAATGCAACACAGTTATACTGTGTCAAGTACAGAAAGAAAATACTGGTGTTCTATTTAACCCTGAGATTAATCCACATACCCTATCCTGTCATCAAGGTTTCTGTGTACTTTACCTTATACAAAGAGAAACTGACAGTCCCTGCCCTCTAGAGTTTACAATCTTTTTTCTAAAGAAGAAATAAGTGACATGTGAAAAACACAGTGATAACTGAACAAACACTGTGTCTAAACAAAGCACAACCCATTAGTTAAGACAATAGAAAGGCAGTTAACAATAGTGGTCACATTTGACAGTACACTGTAGGTGGAAGAACTGCATCACTTACACACAGCACCTGAAAAAAAGCTTAGGGACGCTGGTATTAATTCAGGAGTATTAAGAATGTTTTAAAAATCAGACTCTGGTTGAGGAATGAAGAGGGATAATCTAAAGATTCCACAGATCACAGCTATAATCTGAGAATCTGGAAAGCAATGAAAGGTAAAAATTGACACTGGAAAGATAAAATGAATACAGTGGTCTATGTCTATATGAAATATAAGAAAAGGAGAAAGGTCAAAGAACATAAAACAAATAACTCAGCTTTCAGCTTGTGATCCAAAGAAGTAAACTCAAGTTTCCATGAGCAACAATTTTTAACATCAATATGCAAAATGAAAATACCAATGAGTGAATAGCTTCTTTTTAGCATCAATTTACCTTTTTATCTCTTTGACACAGACCTTATGGGCCTGCTCTGGCATACTGGATGTTCGTATTTTTCTCTCTAGCATGACGATGTCATCATTGTCTTCATCCTCATCATCATCTTCTAAAGCTCCTGGGATGTGTGTAATCCTCCTAATAGGACGTATTGCTATAACCTAAAGTAGAAAGTAGAAGAGTAAAACTGTGTGTCAAAATAAATTGGAAATGAGGTACCTAGTTACACACAAGGTTATAACTGGTGCTGAATAACATTTTCAAAATTAGAGTCTACACCTTTAGGAACTAAGTTCAAAATGATAACTAAGAGGCACAATCATATAAAAGCAGCAGAATTTCAAAAGTGGATCAACATAAAGTGGGCATTCTTTTACTATATGCTTATACTACAATATGAGAAAAAAAATTCAAGAACTGGCTACTAAAGATAACGAAAACATCTAGGAATATCTTTCTTTGAGCTACTACTGCAACCACTACTTTCTTGATTATATTACTACTTAGCAATGGCCAACAGAATAAATTCCACCTTCCCTCCTACATTACAAAATTTCTAACATCTTTAATGTTTCTACCATTGACGCTATTCTCTTTTGTCTCCAACACACAGAAAAGTCTTCCTCCTTTCAAAATATCTGATCTTACCTATGTCCCTTTCCGTTAACTACACACTGTTTACTTCCCTTCTTCTGATGTTCTGTTTTTCCAACAAGTGGCTTTGACCACCACTTCCCTTTCCTCCTTGAGTACTTCAATAATCTGTACTTCATACTTTGGCTTTTGTCTCCATTATGTTGAAATTGCTCTCTGAAATCTAACAACGATCCTCTTTGCCAAGTCAAATGGCTTTATTTGTGTTCTCTTTCTCCACAACTTCTCTATCAGATTTTAAAACTTCCAAAGTGTTCTTTTGAAATTCTCAACTCAATAATATCATGAATCAACACCAGCCAATCACTGGAGCAAAATGATACACTGGTATTTCATTTAAAAGCATGGGAATTTATTTTTTAAAGTATTATTATTATCTATTTAATACATTCAAATATGAAAAGTTAAAAACGTAAGGCAGTAAATAAAAAAGCAATTTTATAAAAACAGAAATATTAAATTCTATACTTTTATTCTACATAACTCATTAGCAGATAAAATTAATATTCTGAAGTATGAAAAACTGAAAATAAAAAAAATTTTAGATGAGTTTTAAAAGCACATCACTTATTTCATCATTGAGACATTAAGTATATTTTTATGCAATCTTTTTCTCCCAGCTACTAAAGAGACTTCTCAACTCTTAAGCAATAGGCAGACAAAGTTCTAGGCTTAACTCTAAATATTATCCTCTGATTCCTACATTTTCATAGCTGTTGCCTGTTTGATCACTTTCTGGAATGATTTTGAACACCTTTCTATTTAAGCAGTGGTAATATTTACTGATAATAAGCTGCAGTTTCTGTGCCTCCCAACACGGAGTGTGCCCTGCTTTGTCTTTCTGCAAAAAATGGATAACTAAATTAATGATCTGATCTCAAATCAGAAGTAATTCAGATTTTTTTTTTTTTTAAAGATTTTATTTATTTATTTGAGACAGAGAGAATGAGAGAGACAGAGAGCACATGAGAGGGGGGAGGGTCAGAGGGAGAAGCAGGCTCCCTGCCGAGCAGGGAGCCCGATGCGGGACTCGATCCAGGGACTCCAGGATCATGACCTGAGCCGAAGGCAGTCGCTTAACCAACTGAGCCACCCAGGCGCCCAGTAATTCAGATTTCTGCTGTTTGTTTGAAACAGCATGATGTCCTGAAGTAGAAACACCAGACAGGCTACTCCTATCTCTGTCGTCATTCTCCTCCAGCCTACTTTGATGCTCCTTCCTTAGTCCCACTGGTAAGGAATCCTTTACCCTGCTCTTCTCTCTCTACAATGTATTCTCTTTGATGAAGGAACACTTCTATGTTGATGACCATTAAGTCTCTAACATTATTCTCAACCTTTCACTTACTTTCCAATAGCCTTCAGAGACCTGCCATTTACACTCTTGCCCACATCAAATATATTTTCCTGACCTTAACTCTGCCCACACATAACAACAGTAAAACTGATAGCTCAAGGGAGACTTCAGACAGACCCCCTATAAATGTAATGTATGATAATGAAGGTATCGCAAATCAATGGGGAAGTGAAAAATTATTCACAAGTGTTGAATTAAATAAAAAGCTATTTGGGACAAAATACAACTGCTCTCTTCCCTTTAGGGCAAAATAAATTACATGTGGGTTAAAGAATTAAATACTTTTTAAAAATCGGCTAAAGGTAAACTGAAAGTGCATATTTCTCAAATCACTGGAGGATAGATAGAGGACTCTAAGCTTAGAAGATAGAAAAAGACTAGCACAGTTGAACTAAATGAAAATAAAAATTTTTATAGTTAAAAACAAAAAAGTCAGCTAAATTATGGCACAGCACAGTGACACAGTCCAATTTTGTAGTATGTTCTTAATACATTAAAAAAAACAGAGGACATTTCAACAGCTGCAGAAAAAGCATTTGTCAAAGTACAACATCCACTCATGATAAAAACCTTCAACACAGTACATTTAGAAGGACCATACCTCAACATAATCAAGTCCATATATGAAAAACCCACAGCTAACATCATCCTCAATGGGGAAAAACAGAGCTTTTCCTCTAGGGTCAGGAACAAGACAGGATGTTCACTCTCACCACTTTTACTCAACGTAAGTCCTAGCCACAGCAGTCAGACAACAAAAAGAAATAAAAGGCATCCAAATTGGCAAGGAAGAAGTAAAATTTTCATTATCTGCAGATGACATGATACCATATATAGAAAACGCAAAAGACCACCAAAAAACTGCTAGAACTGAAAAATGAATTCAGTAAAGTCATAGAGAACAAAACCAATGTACAGTAATCTGTTGCATTTCTACACACCAATAATGAAACAATGTACAGTACAAACAAAATCAATGTAATCTGTTGCATTTCTACACACCAATAATGAAGCAGCAGAAAGAGAAATTAAGGAATCATTAGGAAGAGAAATTAAGGAGTCAATTCCATTTACAACTATACCAAAAACTGTAAGATACATAGGAATAAACTTAACCAAAGAGGTGAAAAACCTGTACTCTGAAAACTATAAAACACTGATAAAAGGAACTGAAGATGACACGAAGAAATGGAAAGATATTCCATTCTCATGGATTGGAAGAACAAATATTGTTAAAATACCTATACCACCCAAAGCAATCTACACATTTAATGCAATTCCTATCAAAATACCAACAGCATTTTTTCTCACCGAGCTAGAACGAACAATCTTAAATTTGTATGGAACCACAAATGACCCGGAATAGCCAAAGCAACCTTGAAAAAGCAAAGCAAAGCTGGAGGCATCACAATTTGGGACTTCAAGTTATATTACAAAGCTGTAATGATCAAATCAGTATGGTACTGGCACAAAAACAGACACATAGATCAATGGAACAGAACAGAAAACCCAGAAATGAACCCACAACAATATGGTCAATTAATCTTCGAAAAAGCAGGAAAGAATAGCTAATAGGAAAAAGACCGTGTCTTCAACAAATGGTATTGAGAAAACCAAACAGTAACATGCAAAAGAATGGAACTGGACTACTTTCTTATACCACATACAAAAATAAATTCAAAATGGATTAAAGACCTAAATGTGAGACCTGAACCATAAAAATCCTAGAAGAGAACATTGGCAGTAACCTCTCTGACATCGGCTGTAGCAACTTCTTCTTAGATATGGCTCCTGAGGCAAGGTAAACAAAAGCAACAATAAACTATTGGGATTCCTTCGAGATCAAAATCTTCTGCACAATGAAGGAAACAATTAACAAAACTAAAAGGCAACCTATGGAATGGGAGAAAATGTTTGCAAATGATAAATCTGATAAATGGTTAGTATTTGAAATACATAAAGAACTTAGAAAACTCAACACCCAAAAAACAGTCCAATTAAAACATGGGAAGACATGAGTCAACATTTTTCCACAGAAGACGTAACAGATGGCCAACAGAAACACAGAAAGGTGCTCAACTTCACTGATCATCAGGGAAATGCAAATCAAAACTATAATGAGATATCACTTCACACCTGTTAGAATAAAAAACTCAAGAAACAACAAGTATTGGTGAGGATGTGGAGAAAAAGGAACCTTCATGCACTATTGGTGGGAATACAAACTGGCGCAGCCACTGTGGAAAACAGTATGGCGGTCGTGCAAAAAGTTAAAAATAGAACTACCCTATGATCTAGCAATTGCACTACTACTGGGTATTTGCCCAAAGAATACAAGAATATTAATTCAAAGGAATACGTGCACTCTGATGTTTACAGCAGCATTACTTAACAACAGCCGAATTATGGAAACAGCCCAAGTGTCCATTGATTGATCAATGGATAAAGAAGTTGTGGTGTGTGTATACACACACACACACACACACACACACACAGGAATATTACTCAGCTATAAAAAAAGGATGAAATCTTGCCACTGGCAATGACATGGATGGAACTAGAGAGAATAATGCTAAGCAAAATAAGTCAGCCAGAGAAAGACGAATACCATGTGATTTCACTCATATATGGGATTTAGGAAACAAAATAACTGAGGAATGGGGAAAAAAAAAAAGAGAGGAAAACCAAGTAACAGACTCTTAACTACAGAGAACAAACTGATGGTTACCAGGTGGGGGGGATGGATGAAATAGGTGATGGGGATTAAGGAGTGAGTGCACCTGTTGTGATGAGCACTGGGTGATGTGTGGAAGTGTTGAATCACTATATTGTACACCTGAAACTAATATTACACTGTACATTAACTAAATGGAATTTAAATAAAAACTTAAAAAAAAAAAGGAAACATGAGATATACAACCATCCCCTTAAATTATTTTCAAAGACACTCATCACAGTTGTTAATTTTTAAAATATAGAAAACATGGGAAACAACACACAGTGTCTGGCAAAAGAGAAATGGCTTAGTATATTATCCCTTTTGATGATGAACCAAAAATCACCAAGAACAAAAAGTAAGAAAATATTACCATGTTTTTAAAAAAAGAAAGACCCAGAAATGGAAAAGGACTAGAAAAACATACTGAATTCAGAATTTTATCAGTAACTTGAGTGGTAAGAGACAATGAAGTTTTTGTTTTGTTCCTTTCTTCATTCCCCCACTTTTTTTTTTACTTCAAAAAAACTGAATCTCACATCAAACAACTGGAAACGTAAAGAAGTAGATTGAAAGAAATATCTACCCGCTTATCATCATCTTGCTTGTGTTTTCTGGTTTTCTGAAGCAATTTCAGGCCTTCAATTTGTCTGACGAGTAGCGGTATGGTCATCTTGAACCGTTCCTCTAGACTCACTGCATCTAAAATCTAAGGGAACATGAGTCAGTTAGTAGACTCTCTCAGAAACACATGCTCCCAAAACAAGGCAGTCGGGTCATGACTTAAATTGTTAAGTAAAAAAGACATCAATATTCACAACTATGTTATGGCCAATACAACCAGATTAACTATATTAAATCACTAGAATACTAAAAAAGAAAAAAAGCATCTTGACTTCTCATTTAAAAATGAAGCCATGTGTATTGTTCCAACAGCAAGAACAAAACACACATTTAATGTCAACTCTTTCTGTGAATTATTCTCTTAAAACACAGAATGTGTCTACTTATTAGGACTAAACAAATTCTAGGTTCAAAATATTAAATTTTTACATTCATGAAAGAGTAGGAGCACTTTTAACCAACCACCACTAGTGATCAGAGTAACTAATGCTCTCCATTCTCTCAAACATCCCTGCTGATGCCCACAGCCAGCTTACCCTCTGGTACTCCTGCACTCTTCTGCGCCTGCCAGTTGAGCTGCATTCTTGTGTTTAGAGTAAGGTGTTTATACACCTTTCTGTTAGGTGCACTTGCTATTATAATTTGTTAGATTTGCTACACAGTTGCTAAGACATAACTGTAATAAAAGTATTAAATAAACTGATAAAATGAAGGTTTCAATGAAAACTAACTTACATATTCTAGGAAGATTCAATAAAGCAGACTGCTTAAAAACACTATAAAAATTAGTATGCAAGAAAACTTACAGTTTGGGAAAAAACATGCAAATCTAAGATTCTGCATTTTTCAGTGTCTTTACAACTCATTTCACTTTACAGATATAGAAACTGAAAATCATAGATAATGCATCATAGGTATGCTTTATGTAAGAAACATCATGAAGAATTCTAATAAAGCAGGCCATACACAAAGAAAAGGTCACAGCTCCACATGTTTAAAAAACAGACAAAATATATTTATTTTTTAAGTTAAATACTTATTTTAAAATTATTCCCCACTTTAACTTTTTCCATAAATTGACAAACTACTAGTACTGATAATGTGAATAAAAGAGCTGCCTGAACATACAAAAATGTAAAGCAATCACTTCTAATAGTCAATTTCAGCATAAGAGCATTTTAACTACTTTTATGCATCTCTAGTATCTCTTACTGAAGGTCATAATTTATTATTTTGAATAAAAACTGACAAAACAACTCAGTATTTAAGAAGGGAATACTGTACCTGGAGCTTCTCTTTGTTGCTTGTTCGGATAATTGAAGTCAGAATGTCTGGTAAAGCTTCTCTTGGAAGACTATCTAAAAGGCGTCTCAATTTAGCAACTGCAGGGACAGACATATCTAACATTTCAACCAACTGCAAGGATAAAGAAGTCTTTTTAATGAAATCTGGCACTATTTGTGAATTCAAAAAAGACTGCTATATAGGTTTAATGTTTGGGCCTCAGAGTCTTCGTTTCTGAAAGATCACTGATTACTATAGTCCAGGCATTTTACACGTCTCAGAAGAAAATAGAAATACATTCAAAATATCAATCAGAATTGAAAGGCAAAAGTGGCTCAAATGTGGATAATATGAATGTTTAAAAGGCTCTTAAATTTATGATTTTATTTTGGAAAAAATTAAAATTTATGGAAAAGTTGCAATAGTACAATAAACTCCTATCCTTCCCCTAAATTCACCAATTATTAACATTCTGCCACATGTGGTTTTTCTCTCTAAGCATGTGTGCACACACACACCCACACAGTTGCTGCTGAACGTTTTAGAGTAAGTGGCAGATATCACGACCCTTGTTCTTAAGAACAAAGGTATTCTCTTACATAATCACAGTGTAATTACCAAATTCTGAAAATTTAATAGAGTCGATGCTACTATGCTAACCAATGAGTAGCTGAAATACTGTTTTTTAGTAAAACATTTGGATTAACGAGAATCTGAGCACTGACTGTGAATGATTTTTATAAAAACAACCAGGATATATCTTGGAGTTAAGACACATTAAGTTCAAAGCAAGCTTTCAGTAACTATGATAATCATTGGGGTTGTTGACAAAAGTTCTCCTCTTCTTCTGGGCACATGGCAGAACTGCTCTTTCTCACCTCCTCTGAATGCAAAATGGGGCTATGATTCTTGCCTTGATCCATGAAACATGAGAGGAAGCAACAGTTCCTTCTGGGCAGAAGCATTAAAAACCATTGAGATTTGCCACATTTCCTTTTCCAGTCTCAGCAATAATGAATACATGTTTTGAGATGAATCTCTAATCTTCTTGTCCCTAAGTGACTCTAACAGGTAGATCAGCACACTCGCTGGTTTTAGGTATAAAGCATGAATGAGAAATGTATGCTGAGATTCTGGGAGTACTTAAAACAGCAAAGCTTAGCCCATACTGACTAATTCACAAATGATGTGCCTCATTTAGTCACTCTAAAAAGATTTCTGATGCCAGTACTAATCAAGCCTCTCTGAAGGCACTGTAATTTAGGAACCTATCCATTGCCTGCCTAGAGTCAAGGGAATGAAAGCACAGTCATGATGAAGCTATTCAGGTGGGAGAAGTAGATAATAAAATTTAGAGACTCTTTCTCCTAAGAATTCATCCTAAGAAAATAAAACAGTTAAAACTTGTTCTCCAAGCACTTACTGAGCACAAACTACTTGACAGACAAAACATACTGCTCAGTAGGGGATGGCTAAAGCAGGGATGAATTCAAGTTTGGTAGAGGAAACAGACCTATAAGGTAAATTTCAATACAATGGGATAAGCATCATATTAAAAGGGATGCATAAAGGACTGTGGAAGCACAGGAAAAGGAGCACAGGATTACCTTTTTTAGCCTTCTGTCTTGTCACCAACCATTCCCACTTGGTGGCAGTGTACTTGGGAAAAAGGCCACATGATCTTTCTGGCTCCACTCAATGTCTAAGGATACCTTGCTTCCTTTGCTTGCATCCCACTATTTCCCTCATCCCATCTACTGCAGCAAATCTCTCCTTAGTTGATGAGATTGTGTTTATCTCCTTGTAAGCCCTACCTATCCTGAATGGTCTGTCATTGTCTGCCTTTAAAATCCTTCCTCTTCCCCTCTTTAAATAATGATGGGGCTAAGTGATACCCAAAGCTCACCCCCAGATTATTTCCTCAGTACCTTGCAAAAAACACCAAACAAAAATACCATTTTAAAAGAGATGTATTGACGAACCATGAGAGACGATGGACTCTGAAAAACAAACTGAGGGTTCTAGAGGGGAGGGGGGTGGGAGGATGGGTTAGCCTGGTGGTGGGTATTGAGGAGGGCACGTTCTGCATGGAGCACTGGGTGTTATGCACAAACAGTGAATCATGGAACACTACATCAAAACTAATGATGTAATGTATGGTGATTAACATAACAACAAAAAATTTTAAAAAATAAATAAAAGGTGTATTTTTTTTTCTTTTAGAATGTAAACTCCTCAAGAGCAGGGACAATGTTTTCTGTATGTTCTATTGTGCCTAATACACTGTAAATGCTCAATAAATATTGATGATGAAAAAAAAAGAGCCAACAGGAGTTGGGAAAGCATCAGTCTGAAAACTGAGAGAAGGAAGAACACTCCCAGCAGAAAGAACAGGAGGGACAAAATCACAGGGACATGAAACAACAAGATGTGAAGCTCTCTGACGGACAACGTGACTAAAATGATGGGTATAAATGGATTAAATAGAGTTGGGAAGGGCCTTAATGTTATTCTAAGAAAGTTTAACTTTATCCTATCACCATTAAAGTCTTTTTCTCAGGGGAGAGGCAGGCCCAAAACTTCCTTAGAAAGGCTCCATGAACAGGATGAGTCAGAGAGAAAAGAAACCAGAAAGAGATTAGTCAGGAAGCTACTGAAGAAGTCGATTGATGAGGGCTATGTAAGGAAATACAGAAGGAAATGACAGAAAAGTATTAACTGGAAACAACCTCAATGTCTAAAAAGAAGAAAGATAAAATTATGATATCTCAATTCAATGAAATTTATAAAAATACTTAATATGAAAAGTAGACATGAACAGGAAAATAAAACTAAGACTTAATTGGACCGAGATCAGAAGACAAGGCAAAAGTTAAACTAAATGCATGATAGCAGTGAAATTATGGAGATGTTTCGCTCTAAAGATTCCTTTCATGTCATAACAATTCTTCACATGTTTAAAATTTCTCTTTTGATTCAAAGTGCGGAGAAGTTAAAAAGCCAAGTGCAATCTCTATGAAGCTGTGTCCAATAGAAGAACTAAGACCCAGGGAGTAGTATTACCCAGGAAAAAGAGAAAATTCAGATTCTCCATCTCCTTCTTCTTCTTCCAGTTCTCAAAATGAAGTGTCTCTGTTCAGAGTAGGTTCTTCCTTTTAGTCCCCACAGAAGTTAGAGCTCTAAGTTTTCTATTTTCCTATTGTTTACCACACTGGGAGTGTGTTGCTTTGAATGCCACAGCAGGTACAGATACCACAGGCTGTGAACACTTGCCTTACGCTTTGCAATGATCGAGACCTTCAGACACTGCCTGATCCTCACAGACCTAGTTAGAGTCACTGGACTATATCAACAGAAAGTAGGAGACTACATTTTACAATGTATTTCAGTAAGGTTTCAAACAAAACGGGGTGAAGGGAGGAGCTTTCTAGTCAATCTCGAGTTAAAAAAACTCAAACCTAGAATTAAAAAGTCCAATATTTAATGCATGCCTCACATGTGCTTCCCTCCCAGCATTCTAGGCTTTAATCAAGGCTTTAATCATCTTTGAAATCAGTCTACCATAGACCTAACCTTTCAAAGTTACTGTCAGTCTCAGTGTGACCTTGACTTCTGAAACAACATAACTTATGTAATTTGCTACCTAGATGACTCTTGTGCCATATAGCTTTTGTGCAATATTTTAATTTTTAACATTATTTAGGTTTAATAACTGTCAGTTTGGAGACACTGGAAGTTATAAGGAAAGCTCTAGAAAGACTCTTTGGAAAAATTTTAGAAAGAGCTGGCTCATTTTTCCTAGAATGACTTAGGTACAATCTTAAACAAAAGCAAAGTGAAATCAATATATTAGTAAGTCATTTAAACATATGCTGCCTTAAAACTTCACCACTCAACAGATCTTAGGGCAGCAAAGGAACTGAAGAAAATGGGGTTTTAAGGAAAAAAATAAAAGCAACTCACTTGTACTGCATATTTGTAAAACTGTTCTGATAGTTCTCCTAGCTCCTCCCTAGTTTTACAGGTGTTGGGAAATTCCTCAAGCCGGTCCAACTGTTCCACTTCAGCAACGGGATATGGCTTCTCTTTTAAGACCTGTACAATCTGGAAACGGCACAGGCCTGTAATCAGCAAAGTATAGTGAGGCTTGGGCCAGTTACTGCCTACAACCTGAACCGCCAGGGCAGCCGTCCCAATCCTGAAAAACACACAAAACATCAGTGTTAGAAATGTTCAGTGTGGTAGAACAGAAACTTGCCTCAAAAGGTGTTGCCTTTTCTGAGGAATTCTTTAAAAAACAAATAACATCTAAAGTGGAAATGATTTCTCTAATTTAGCATCTAGCAATGGTCTGTGAAGTCACCACCACCAGCAAGGGGGCAAAGCAGGCCATCTCATTCTAATTATTATCTCCTTTAAGATTAGGTAGAAATACCTAAAAATAAATACGTAGAAGTACTCGATAATTACATAGCTTAAATTCATTTTGCTAGGAATGAGGCAATATTATGCTAGAACAAATATTAGCATTTTAAACAGATGGAAATATAAACAGCATTAATGTTAAACCAATCTAAGAAATCTCTGTCCCAATGACCAGGCTTGCTACCAACATCAAGCCAGGTTTTTCACACAATCAATCCCCAAAACTTCCACATATCTGCCTTCTCACAAACTATCATCATATCTGAGAGTTAGTATCTATGTCCGTGAATACGAAATTTCTAAATGCGGGGGACTAAATATCAGAGGCTACACACTGTCATGACTGAAGGTATAAACTTAGTTCTGTCCTAAGTGGTAAATGCCTCACCTAATACTAACTAAAAAAGTTGTTTTATTTCAGTCTTAGCTCCTTATCAGAACATACAATTCTGACTAAGTTACATATAAACTTAATTCACAGAAAGGAAGTCTCATCCAAACTAAGCCAAAATTATACAAAATAGCAAGAGCCACATTCAGAAAACACATCTAGATCTCAAACTAAAATTGTATCTTCTCCCTTCAGCCACAGGAAGGGCTGTCATTTCAGAGAAGAAACTGGAATTAAGACAACTAGAACTCTCAACACCCTGGGGAAATGGTACTCCTGGAAAATCACACTTGCCCATCTCAAACATACTGAATCACACATGAATATAGAATTTGAATATGTCAGGGAAGTTGCTTACTTCTATATGCAGTCAAGGCTCGACTATTTCCTTATATTCATTCCACAGATTATGCGGAATCTTTTGGCTTTCCTCTGCCATTCAGTTAATTTTGAGCTATGTCCATCTTTCCTTACCATCTTTTCAGTCATATCACATGTACAGGAGATAAAAACCGATTTAAACAATAACTAAAACCAAAGAATCAGGAAGATAATTTGGTGGGGAGAAAAAACATGATACACTTTAAAAACTGAAATGATTTTACAATTCTCTATTATTTTAAGGTATTTGTGTTGTGGCTGCTTTTCTTCAGTCATTAATGGTAGTAGGCTATTATCTCCCATTTCCTGTAAACCAACTCAGATTGCCTGAGAAAGTTAGCAATAGCTGAACTGATTAGAGACCAAGACTACAATTACCCTCAGATGATGCCCATCAATGCTTGCACAATGCAGATCTGTCTACAAGCAACATCAACAGATGACAAACGGGATCCCTGGCCTAAGGGGTTTGCAAACTGGAACCAAGGGGAAACAGAGAGAGAGATGAGGCAAGTCCAAACCTCCAGATTAGGAGATAAATTTTATTATTTGAGCTACGTCATTCATTAAAGGTGAAACTAAAAATGAGTTTTCTTACAAAGTAAAATACTGTGTTAACTGTGAAACGAAGTTGTTCCAAATTGACAAGAGATTAAGTTGGATTTATATTACGCCTCTCCTCCTAATGAGATAAATATATAAAGGTTTTACATTTGTTAATTGGGTCTTACTTTAAGTCACTTATAGTTGACTTGAATGTAACCTTTTTAAAGAAAAACATGATTTGTGAAATGATAGATGGCTAGAAAGAGTATCTGGTGAAAGACATTTCGGGTAAAAAGCTCTGTGAAAAAGGACCATGTTTAATGTTATTTTAGCCAAGTTCTATTGTATATTGGGCTCTAGGTTATACATATAAATATAGATAGTAAGTAAACAAAATATACCATTATGGTCAACATTCTGATTTTGCAACAGACTCAAATGTATACAGTAAATGAGAGGTGTTCTTTCCCTGTGGGTAGCAGCTCTGTAAATCTACACCTTAAATACTGTGTATTTTACAGTTCAAAGAATTTTTGAAACTCCTAACTGGGATCTATTTTCAGAGTTGTAAAATATTGTTCTAATCCAAAGTCTGATTACAATGGGTATGACTTATGTACTTTGGAAACGGACTTAGATAATATAAGAGTTCCAAAAATATTTGAGAACTATCAATTGTAGGCGTGGGAAAATCTAAAAGCAGCACTACTACCAAAGGCAGTTTTGGAATATGAGGATATTGGGTAAATATCCAAACTGGCCTATGCCAACCACTTACTTTTTTTTTTTTTTTTTTTTTTTTTTTACTTTAAAGCTCTCCATCTTTCTTGGAATCCTCAATCTTCCAAGTCTTTTTCTGTAATGACACTAGTTCTGCACATATTGAAAGAATCTGGGGCCTTCCCACTCCTCCCCTCAACTTCCATTTGTGAAATTTACATTTTTTTTTTTAAAGATTTTATTTATTTGACAGAGAGAGACACAGCAAGAGAGGGAACACAAGCAGGGGGAGTGGGGGAGGGAGAAGCAGGCTTCCCGCTGAGCAGGGAGCCCGATGCGGGGCTCGATCCCAGGACCCTGGGATCATGACCTGAGCCGAAGGCAGACGCTTAATGACTGAGCCACCCAGGCGCTCCTGAAATTTATATTTAAAAGTACCCATCTGGGGAATAATAATACCTCTAACATATAGGTTTAGTGCTCCATAGCCTACAAAAGGCTTTCGTAAGTATGATCTCATCGTATACTACCTTTTACTCCTGTGAGGAAGGTAGCACCATTTCCTTATTATAAATTAGCAACTGAGATTCAAAAAGGGTAAACAGGCTAGTTATCCATGATTACAAAGATATTGCATAGGCAGGCAATAGGGGACCTGAATTAGGTTTTATGACAAATTTTACTTTAACCACCGCAAGAGACAATATCAATTTGTGCCCATAAGAAATATACTTATTCACATAGTTTCTAAATAGCTGAGATACTAGAAAGCACAGCTATTACTTAATATCTACTGTTCACATCTCAATTACACTTAACAAAGAGAAGCATTTCTACCAAAACTCTGGAATCAAGTTACACATCTTTGGAAAAGAACAACTGAAACATCTTTTTAGTGTTCTCGTGTCACCCGACTTATCTTTTTGAATTATTTGTTGATTTTTGGCAAAACTCATCATCATGATTAATAATAACTTAGAAACAAGGAGCCTATTGCTCCAAGGTCTGTAACAGACAAGGCTTCTGTTGCTATAGGATTTTTGCTTTTCACTCCTTTATTAAAACTTCATTTCTGGGGGGTGCCTGGCTGGCTTAGTCAATAGAGCATGTGACTCTTGATCTTGGGGCGGTGAGTTCAAGCCCCACGACAGGCACAGAGATTACTTAAAAAAAATTTTTTTTTTTAAATTAAAACTTCATTTCTGAATTTAAGAATTGCCACTTGTAGACACTTTCCTTAAAAAGAGTAAATGCAGATTTAGGAAAATCTAAGTAGAGCTATCCATTACATACTTGCTAACATAAAAGATTAAATTTTAAAATGTTAGTACTACTAGTAATATTTCCTGAATGCCTAAGAAGGCTCACGGATAAAAATAGGAGTAATATGGAAAGAGCCAAGATGTCTATCAACAGATGAATGGATAAAGATGTGGTATATATATACAATGGAATATTATGCAGCCATCAAAAAAAAAAAGAAATCTTGCCATTTGCAACGACATGGATGGAACTAGAGGGTATTATGCTAAGCTGAATAAGTCAATCAGAGAAAGACAAGTATCATATGATCTCACTGATAAGAGGAATTTGAGAAACAAGACAGAGGATCATAGGAGAAGGGAGGAAAAATGAAACAAGACAAAACCAGAGAGGGAGACAAACTATAAGAGACTCTTAATCTCAGGAAACAAACTGAGGGTTGCTGGAGTGGAGGGGAGTGGGAGGGATGGGGTGGCCCGGTGATGGACACTGGGGAGGGTACGTGCTACGGTGAGCACTGTGAATTGTGTAAGACTGATGAATCACAGACTTATACCTCTGAAACAAATAATACATTTAAAAAAAAAAAAAAGGAAGATAGTAGGAAGGGAAAAATGAAGGGGGGGGAATCGGAAGGAGAGAGGAACCATGAGAGACTATGGACTCTCAGAAACAAACTGAGGGTTTTGGGGGGGGGGGGGATGGGTTAGCCCAGTGATGGGTATTAAGGAGGGCATGTATTGAATGAACACTGGGTGTTATACGCAAACAATGAATCATGGAACACTACATCAAAAACTAATGATGTAGGGGGCGCCTGGGTGGCTCAGTCATTAAGCGTCTGCCTTCGGCTCAGGTCATGATCTCGGGGTCCTGGGATCGAGCCCCACGTCGGGCTCCCTGCTCCACGGGAAGCCTGCTTCTCCCTCTCCCACTCCCCCTGCTTGTGTTCCCTCTCTTGCTGTGTCTCTATCAAATAAATAAATAAAAATCTTAAAAAAAAAAAAAACTAATGATGTAATGTATGATGACTAACATAATAAATAAAATTAAAAAAAAAATAGGAGTAATGCCTGGACAAAGAGTTGACCCAAATTATGAAACTGGGCATCTGCTATCTATAAAGCATTCATTTCTTGTCAGACAAATGCCAATGAAACTAATTTGGGATCTTGAAGGAAGAAGCCAGAGAAATCCACACTATGAGGAAATGAAGCCATGTATCCTGAAGAACGTAAGGCTGGAAGAAGACTGGATGACCATCCTGAAATGCATGAAAGGACAGTGTTTACATAGTACTAAATTATTATCCATCTTCACTAAAAAAACAATGAGTCACTCAAGTCTAGGTAAGCAGGGTGCCCTGAGGTGGCATAAGACCAAGTTCTATGCTGCAGGGATAATCCAAAGCTCCTCCTTTAAAAAGGCTCCCGTGTCAGGTAACATACCTGCACACTAACTAACATGCAGAAGGGAGCGTGCTGTTCAGGGAACTCAATATCTGGCTTTGCTACTTTTTGTGACAAGGAATACAGGGGAACAAATTACTTCTGCTGCTCCTTCAAGACTGAGGCATTGTCACCTGGATGGTCTAAAGGAAACAAAAGACAGGAGTAGAGCCCCTGGCCTTCCCTTTGGGTACCACCACCATTTGGAAAAGCAGGTAACTGAGGAAGGGCAGATTTATGTATCGAAATAGAGTAATGTTATGGGTAACTCAATATTTGCATTATCAAAGCTTTTAAAATTTTTAAGAGTGTTTAAATGTCATATTAGAGAAAAAAGACATTTGAAGCTAAGGAATGCAGTACAATCTTTCTACACAGATTTTTCTAGTAGCAAACAATATTTCTAGAATAACCAGATGGTCTGGTGGGTCCTTGCTAGAATTCTATGAAAAATTGTCAATGTATGTTTTCTAACTTACATGATTAAATTTTAACATTGCTATTAATTTAAAACAAAGGCAGTGATATGAACATCAAGGATCAGATTACACATCATCTGAATATTAACGATTACTTCCACGCAGGAGAATTTAATTATTGATGTTTTGGAGGGATTTACATGAAAGAAATTAAAAAGCATCCAAAATCTTGCCAGGATATACCAACAAAATGACTAAAATATGCCTAAATCTACTTTTGAAATTCACAGTGTACCCATGGGTAATCACCACACACATACACAGAACTAAAACAAACAAAAAAATCTAACCATGAACACTCTTGCCTCAACCAGTGATCAAATGCCTGGGCACAGAAAGCAAAAAATTGTGCCATAAGCAGAGGCTTAAGGAGTGGGGTCATTATGCTGGGGAACCAGAATTCAACACAATTTATCAGGGTTTACTGAAACTTGAAAAGTATCCAATTCCATGCAAGCAATAACCAAAGCAGATCAGATGGAAGCCAAAATGCTTTCCATGCCTGAGAAATGCAAGGTTTTTACAATGTGGACTAATAAGAGAGTATTATGGGTTTTTTGTTTTGCTTTGTTTTAGTAAGGGAGGGGAAAGATAACAGTTTCCTTTCTGAATTTGAAGACAGCTATAGACTCTCCTTTTAGAAATGTATATAATCACGAGATTTTGGGTAAGAATAAGGCATTCCTAATCCTCTCGAAATCATTCAGTCAGGAATCCCTAACTTTAAAAAAGGGTAACTGCAGGTAAACAATGGCTCTAAACTAAAAGCATCTCAGGACGAGTTCAGGATAGGAGGCAGGGGCTAGGGAGGTGAGTCTGAAGATAACGATAGCATTTGTTGAGCATATACTATATCCCAGCATTGTCCAATAGAAATATAATGTGAACCACATATGTAATTTTGGTAGCCACATTAAAAAGTAAAAAGAAACAGGTGAAATACTAATATTTTATTTAACCCTGAACAGCCAAAATAATACCATTCCAACACTTAATCTATGTAAAAATTATTAATCAGCAAAACATTTTACATACTAAATTTTCAAACTCTAGTGTGTGCTGTATCCTTACAGCACGTTTGGGGTGACTAATTACACTGATTTATCTGGGACTAACGGTGTTTCCGGGGAAACAGGACCTCTACTGGTAAAACTACTTCAATCCTCAGGGAACCGGGGCTGTTGGTCACTCTAGTATCTCAGTTTGGACCAGGCACATGTGGCTAGTGGCTACAGTACTGGACTACTATCTATCAAGCATGGCACAAAGATTATTTCACTTAATTCGTAACGCACCTAAGAAATGGATACTGTTAGGTTCCAATAGGCACAGGGTGTCTCACCCAAAGACACACAACTTGGGCCATGGTGTAGGGCAATCTAGTGCTAAGTTTGGGACGTAAGAAAAGAAATGTTAAGATATGAAAGAAAGCAGATAGGAGATGAGAAAGTTCCAGAAAGGGAGACAAGGGAATATGTGAATAGGAAGGGAGGGTAAAAGAGAAGGGGCAGGCAGGGAATTTGGAAGATAGGCACCCCCCAAAATAATGAAAAGGGTAGTGCGGATTAGGATGGCACAGGAAAAAGAAAACGTGTGGAGTACCAAGTGTCTCACTTAAGAGGCCAAAAAAGACGGGGAGGAAGGGAATAAAGGATAAGAAAGAGGAGGGGCCTGGAAAGTTAAGAGCACTGGGCTAAGATCGGAAGACCTGGGGGGCGGGGAGGAGAACTTAAATTAACAGCGGCAGCTAACTGCAGAATTTTCATTACTTCATGAGTTATGCCCTTTAACAGTAACAAGACAGACATCCGTCACCCCCATTTCACATGGGAGGTAGCCGAAGAGGCAGACCCGAGCCGCGAAGGCCGTCCGCGAGGAGCCTCGGCGCCCCGAGACCGCGCCTGGCCTGGGCCGGCGGGGTCCGGAGAGGAGGCAGCGCCGCCCGCCGCCGCCGCCGCCGCCACCGCCACGGGGGCCGCCCGGCCTACCTGTGCAGCGGCGGCAGGTCCTGCGCGTCGCTGGCGGGGTCGGGCGTATTGGGGATCACCCCCAGGATGGTGCTCTGCAGAGACGTGCCCTTAAGCAGGCGGCTCCGCACCAGCTGCAGGTTGCGAGCCGAGTCTACGCCGGTGCGCATGGTGGAGCCGGGCAGTAGCACGCCCTCGTTGGTGAGCAGCAGCGGGAGGCGTCCGGGGATCTGGATGGGGCTCACCGACGACATGGCGACAGCTGTTCGCACTGGGGTGCTGTCAAAGAGGGCAGAGCCCACAGCTCTGCGCGACCTCGACAACCCCGACCAAAGGGCCCAGCCGCACGCGCCGCACGCCGGCGCGCCGGCGCGCCGCCACTTCCGGCTCCGCGCTACGGCCCGCCCCCGGGCTCAAACCCCGCAGCTTCGCCCTGCCCCCTCCCGGAGCCGCCCGGTAGCGCGCGCGCGTGCCGTAAGTGTACGAGGACAGGCGCACTCCAGCCCCGTGCGACCTTCGTCCTCGGCGAGGCGGGCTCTTCCATTTTCTCCTTAGGCTCAGCCTCAGGACCGTCCCCTGGAGAGAGGATCATGTTTAAATTATATCTACTTGAAATGTTTTTAACTTTTCATTCGAATTGATTTTAGATTTACAAAAATTTTGCAAAAAAATATTCCCACAGTTCAATTATAAAAACCAGAAATTAACATCACTGTTATCTAACCTATAAACCTTGCACAAATTTTGCCAGTTTTCTCACTAATGTCCTTTTTTTCTGACCCAGGATCCCACTTTATATTTAGTTGTGACGTCTCCTCAATACGTGTGTGTATATATATATGTATATATATATACACATATATATGTTTAAATCTGTGAACTTTTAAAGAGCATTGGTCCATTATTTTGTAGGATGTCCCTCAATTTGCTTGGGAACAACATTATACATTTTTGGCAGAAAGACTGTACAGAAGAGATGTGGCCTTCTTCCTGATACATGATGGTTGAAATATATTATTAATGGTGATTTTGACCTTGATTACTTAGTAAAGGAGGTATCTGCCAGGCTTCCCTATTGTGAGTTAAAATATTTCTTTTTATAAGTAATACATATATTGTAGGGAGTTAATATTACATTTATTAATTGGAATTCTGTAAGAAAAAGCTGCATATTTCCCTCATTTATTTACTTACTCAATTTTTTTATGTTATTAAGGGTTGACAGATTTTTTTTTATGGGTTATAACCCAATAATATCATGTATCTCGTCACTTAAATTGTTTTAGATTTGGCCATTAGGAGCTTCTTCACGTTGGGATTTGACTTGGGTTTGGCTATAGGTTGAAGATGGAAAATTCTTCCTATGAAGTCCAGCAATGCTCTCAGAATCCAAGAGGGAATTGAAAGTCCATTTAAATCAACAGGCATTCACTGAGGGACTGCTAAGTACAAGGTCCCGGGCTAATTGTGGAGGGGTAAAGAGTATAACATAAGACAAGCTCCTACCCTTGTGTATCTCTTGGCCGGAGGGACAGCCCTGTAGACGGCTGAGTCTGATACAGGGGAGGTGGAACTGTGTGTTTCTGTATGTGCTGCAGATAAGGGACAGGAGAAGGTAGGTATACAAACAGTTATATAAGGCCGTGGTGGAGACAGAAATGCAGGAACTTGGATGCTCCTGCCTAAAGCTCTTTCTCTAACATTATCCCAACTTTCTTTCATTCACTAAGCAATATATTTGGAATACCTACTATGTACTGGATATTATTTTAGGTGCTGGGGATATGTCAGTGAACAAGACAGGCAAGGTTACTGCTTTCATGGAGCTGAACTTCTAGTGAGGGAAACAAACAATGAACAAGGAGAGTAATTTTGGGTGGTGGTAAGTCCTTTAGATGGTCAGAGAAGGACTCACTAAACAGATGACATTTGAACAGGGCCCTGTGCATGAAGAGGTAGCAATGCAAAGCTCAGGGCAGGGGTGCCCAGGGGGTGATGTTCCAGGCCAAAGAAACAACTGCAAAGATCTTGTGGCCAGAATGAATTTGGGATATTTGAGAAAACTGCTCCTGGAATTTAGTGCTAGTGGGGCCTGGTGGTTTGGCTGAGATAAGAGAAGTGGCAGGATCAGGTAACAGAGGGCTGTGTATGAGGTAAAAAGATGGGGTAAGGAGTCTAGTAAGAAGTCAGGGTTTTTGGGGTGCCTGGGTGGCTCAGTCGTTAAGCGTCTGCCTTTGGCTCAGGTCATGATCCCAGGGTCCTGGGATCGAGCCCCACATCGGGCTCCCGGCTCAGTGGGGAGCCTGCTTCTCCCTCTCCCACTCCCCCTGCTTGTGTTCCCTCTCTCACTGTGTCTCTCTCTGTCAAATAAATAAAATCTTTAAAAAAAAAGAAGTCAGGGTTTTACTCTAAGCCTGATGCAAGCCATTGGCAGTTTCAAGGTGCAGAATATCTTTTCTGGTTTATGTTTTCAAGAGACCATTTTGGCTGCTGTGTGGAGAATGCAATGTAATGACTTAAGGTCAGAAGCTGGGAAGCTAGTTATGAGGTGGTGACATTTGTCCAGGCAAGAGATAATGAGGACTTAGACTGGAAGCTATACGTTTGACTGTAGCTTCAACAGAATATGCTGATGGATTGGACATGACGAATGAAGGAAAACAGTTGTCAAGGATATCTCCTAACTGGGGCTTGAGCCACCAGGCCTAGAGAGAAGTTGAGCTGAAGATCCTGGATACAGTAAGCAAGCTCTGGACCATTTCTCTGGATGTGCATTATGAACCCTACCCTGTGGTAGACTCTGGGGAGATGTAGAGATAAAAAAAGATTGGCCCAGGTCCACAAGAGCTTACCTTTTCATCAAGGCCTCTCTAAGGGCAAGATGGAGGAGGCCCAGTTTTTGAGGCTCGTTGTATTTAACAAAGAAATTAAAAAACCATCTTATAAACGTCGTGATATATTTTTTAAACACTCATGTTTAATGCTTTTGATCTACACACTTACACTCCTGCCCCCATAACAGCAATAACAACAAACAAAATTGGTATTCTATTCACATAATAATTGCTGGATTTATTTTTTTTTAAAGATTTTATTTATTTATTTGAGAGAGAGAATGAGAGAGAGAGAGCACATGAGAGGGGGGAGGGTCAGAGGGAGAAGCAGACTCCCTGCCGAGCAGGGAGCCCAATGCGGGAGGACTCAATCCTGGGCCTCCAGGATCATGACCTGAGCCAAAGGCAGTCGCTTAACCAACTGAGCCACCCAGGCGCCCTGGATTTGTTTTTTTAAATACAAATTCACACTGCACTAAGGAAGCTGTGCTGTGGGAATGGATCCATGCTTAAATTGCTTGCTTGATAAACAACTTCTTTTAATCCTGTGACTGTATGTCTGTAATGGGATGTGGCAGCCAACCTGGGAAAGCATCAAAAATCTAAATGTGAGGTCTTCAGTGACCATGTGGATTTCCTGGCTCCTTCTTTGACAGGCTCTGCATCTACATCATTTATTTATCCTTCACATATTTATTAAGCATCTACTGTGTGCTGAGAACTATTCTAGTTTCACAGATACATCAATGAACAAGACAAACAAGGTCCCTGGTTTCAAAGAGCTGATATTCTAGGGAGGTGGGCAGAAAATAAATAAGCCAAGAAAGAAAGAAATGGCAATTTGAGAAAATGGTAAGTAAAGCAAATAAAGCAGGAAACTATGATAGAAAGAGGAGTACAATGTTCACCGGGGAGGTCTGGGAAGGTTACTCCCAGGAGGTGGTGTTTGAGCTGAGACTTGAATGATGAGAATGGACCAGCTCCACGAGGAGCTGGAAGGAGAATGTTCTTGGCGGAGATTAGGACTAGCACAAAGATCAGGGTGGGGAGGAGTTTCCCAGTTTCTGGAACAGAGGAGAAGGCCAGGCATTGGGATGTGGGGATTCAGCAGTCAGGAAGATACCAGTGATGGCCTCCAGAAGCTATTGGAACTAGCAGAAGGAAATGAACCTCAGAGCAGGGAAAGTTGACGAGCACAGGGTGTAAATGGACTGGAAGGGAGAGGTACAGGAATAAGGTCTAATCATCTAAACCTCTTGGGAGGCTGGCTTGCCGGTGTCTCTGCACCTTGCCCTGGATACTGTCCTTACCCTCTGGCATACCTTCTAGACTTAGACACTACATCCTGCTGGATAAAGGGGTAAGAACAATGAGGAAGTAAGTTAGCTACTCCAGACGGCCCAGCCCATGCCACACAGGAGCAGCTCCCCTCCTGTTTCCAGACTGTTTGGTCATATGCAAATGGCCCATGTCTAAACCAAGTTTATAATCATGATTTCCGCCCCCCCAGGGATGGGGAAGAGCACAGGGCTGGGAATGTCTGTTTCCTCTCTGTTTTATTCCCGACACATCCTGGTCTTCACCCTCACCGCAGTGATGGTCTTGCCACTAATCACAATGAATAAACTTGCACTCTGGTTCTTCCCAAGAGGAAGCTGGGGGGCCAGGGAACCTCTCAAGGACTGCCAAAGGAAGTTCTAAAGGAATTCCCTTGGCCAGTCAAAGAAGCAAAGGTGGGCCTCATCGATTGGAAGGTGGCCCGCACTAATGTGTGACTGAGCTGCAATTTTGTTTAAATGAGCAATTCGTGTTCTGCAAACATATATCCATCATACATGCTTATATTTTCTTCATCTTCATTTGTTTTACTTTTCCCTGTTATTAGTTTCTTGGACAAATGGCATATAAAAATGGGTCACACCTTTGAAACCCTCTTTGTATCTCTCCGCAGGGGTGTAAAAATAAACCAGGTTGGCAAATCAGACCAGAGCTGAAAGGTGAGAGAACATCCAATATCTTTATTTCGTCTCTAAGAACATAGTCTTCCTCATGAGCCCCTAAACTGCTGGTTAATGAAGAGAAAATACGTGTTCATGTTTACCATTGTAAGCTCTTGTTTAATCCAGTCATTTAAATAGTTCCTTTAAGTTACTCTCAGCAAAGGATCAGTCTCAGAGCTATTGCCTGGCAGAGGACGAGTCAGGGTCCCAGGCACAGTGTCCTCTGCTCCTTGGCTTTTCCAAGCAATGTCTTTTGTCCACCTGGTCACTGCCTGCCCTGCTGTCATTGGAGGGTCTGTACTGATGCATTTTGACTTGCTTGTGGCCTGGCGGTGTTCCCAGGGATGCCAGGCCTCTGTGAGCCCCATATTCCACTCCCAAGACCTTTCCATGACTCTCATTTATTTGCAGTGTGGTTAGCCCACTAGGCCCCCTCAGCAAGGCCCTCACCTAGACTTTCAGCTACTTCTTGTTCCCCTCTGCACCAAGGGAGCCAGGAAAGCTAACCCCCAGGTACAGCCAGCACTAACTTAGGAGGGAATTAGAAAAAGCTGTCTCGGGCGCCTGGGTGGCTCAGTTGGTTAAGCGACTGCCTTCGGCTCAGGTCATGATCCTGGAGTCCCGGGATCAAGTCCCGCATCGGGCTTCTTGCTCAGCAGGGAGTCTGCTTCTCCCTCTGACCCTCCCCCCTCTCATGCTCTCTCTATCTCATTCTCTCTCTCAAATAAATAAATAAAATCTTTAAAAAAAAAAAAAGAAAAAAAAAGAAAAAGCTGTCTCTGGTGGGAGAAGGATTTAGAAAAAGGCACCATGTTTTCCAGATGGATCAGCAGTGGTCTGCTGGAGCCTATTCATACTGGCTCAGGAGAACAAACTGTCACATTTGAGGAATTCTGAGAGCCCAGTTGTTAAACACAAACATTATTAAAATTAAATTATATAAACTTGCAATTAAATATATGATATCAAAGACAAAGGTGATACTCAAAATGTACCACTTCCTAGTTATTTTACTGCAGCTTTGCGCAGTGGCATTATTGTAGCCAATGAGGTTTATCTGAGGCACGATTATTGCTAATTGAAAACTTTCCTAGTTATTTTACTGCATTTTACTATTATTTACATTTTGAAATTATTTATTTCTATTGCATCTGTAGGATGGAAATACTGTAGAATGGTGTATCACTATGTCTCTCTTCCCACCTTCATATTCAGTGGTCACGTGGGTAGCTTGAAATCAGCCGCGGTGGGAATATTTACACCACACACACAAAAAAATTAAAAAAGCTTATAAAGCAGGGCTGTTTTATTATTTTGTTGATTATCTAGGCTAAAGAAATAAATGCAGGAAATGTTAATAATGCAGATTAAATCTACAAGTGTGTGGTGCCTGAAACCATTACGTTGTGAAGAGCACAAGAAAAATGAGGAAGTACTGTTTCAGTATTGACAGACTATTCAGGTCACTGACAGATGAGTGAAGATCCAACCATAGACATCTTTGATGTTTCATTTTCCTCTTAGTTATTAAGGTAAAGCCAAATGTCAAGCAGCATTCATGTTGGAACTACGCTCAACCACCAATTGCAACACTAGGTTAGTTACAGATACAAACATCTCTCGGCACACCAGTGATGCAGCTGCTTGCCAAGCCCATGACTTGCAATCTAGAATTTGTTGGCTTCCGCCTCTGCCCCTGCCGTTCCCTCCGCTGGAAACCTTTGTGTAGTGAATAAACCGTACTGCAGTATACTGTGGTCCTGGCACCAAGGACTTCTGTTGAGTTATGCCAATTTTACTTTAATGTGTCTGTGTCCTAGACTGATTCCTAGCAGCCAGAAACCTCGTTTCTTCCCAGAGTCTTAAACAAAGAGTGTGTGACATTCTCTCTCTTTCTTCTTCTCCACCATCCCTGACAGATTCACTTCTTTTTTTAATTTTTATTTCAATTCAATTTAATTAATATATACCGTATAATTAGTTTCAGAGGTAGAATTCAGTGATTCATCAGGTGTATGCAACACCCAGTGCCCATTACATCAGGTTTCCTCCTTAATGCCCATCACCCAGTCACCCCATTCCCCCCTCCCACCACCCCGCCAGCAACCCTCTGTTTCCTAGAGTTAAGAGTCTCTTACGGGTTTGCCTCCTTCTCTGTTTTCTTCTTATTTTATTTTTCCTTCCCTTCCCCTACGTCGATCCGTTTTGTCTCTTAAATTCCGCATATGAGTGAAATCGTAATGGTATTTGTCTTTCTCGGATTGACCTATTCTGCTTTCACTTCTACCATCGCATGGCAAGTAAGCCTTGTGGCCTGATGCCCTGGCAGGCAATAGCTCTGAGACCGATCCTTTGCTGTGGCAGATGGGCAATCTGTCTGGCATGCTCTATAGCAGAATTCCAGAAGCGGAGTCCACCAGTCGCAACCATGTGATTTGCCGAAAGGAAGTGGGATGGGAGGAAACGGGTTCTTCTCCCAAGACTGGTCAGTCTGCAAGGCTATTTGCTTGAAGCGCAATCCAGTATTTGAACGTCAAGAGCTACATTTGAATACCGGAACCGATTACGTAATTTGCGGGGCCCGGTGCAAAATGAACATGTGGGCTCCTCGTTCAAAATTATTAAGCATTTCAAACGGTGACAGCAGGGCCTTAACCAAGCCTGAACCTTTCTGGATACAAGGCTCTGGGAGACACTGGTCATACCCCATGATGCTGGCCCTGTTATATACTCTCTTTCTCCATTCTTTCAGAAATATTCCTAATTACCATCCCCTCTCCCAACCCAGGCACATGGATATTCTGGGCGTGAATCACATATTCAGAAAGGCAAAAATAAAAAGCATTTTAATATATTTTAAAAATACCTTGGGTTATTTAAGTTTCTCAAATTGTGTCCAGCTCTACTCTCTGAGTCTGTGAATGCTAAGAATCAGAGTTAATAGTAAAATTGCATTTCTTTTATGTATTTATCCATCCATTTATTATTTATTTATTGAGTACCTGTTATCTTCCTAGCACTGTCCCAGGCTCCACGGATTCAACAGTGAGCAAAACAGACATGTCCCTGTCCTTGTGAGGCTCTCTATTTAGAGCAGGAAATGAACTCTAAACAAATAATGATTTACACAAATATATAATTACAAACTGGGATAAGAGAAGTAGCATGGTTTTATGAGTAGGCCTGGCCCAAGGTTATGGGGTTGAGATTGGGTGGTTAGAAAAGTGTTCCCCAAGTGATCTTGAGCTGAGCCCGAGTAGATGTTTAAAAAGAGGGAGGCAAGCCCATCCCAGGCAGAGGGAAGAGCAGCAACTGGGTGCTGCAGTCTCCTGCCTGACCCTGGCCTGCTCCCTGCAGGGGGATGTCCCCCTCTCCTGACTGCTTAGGGTTGAATCTAAGCTGCTCTTACCTGCTGCCTTTTCAGATTCTCTGATTCGGGGAAACGAAGGATTGGCAAGACAGCTGAAAATGACCAGGAGGAGTATATACTGGGTCCCCAGATCTTCTGGTGGCCTTGGGAATCTCGGCATGGACATGAGCAATGACATGGTTTCAGGGCTTAGCTACGTAAGTAGGTCTACTTTGCATTAAAATACCAGGAAACTGAATTGACAGGGTATTCTCAATGTTCACAAATTAGATTAGAAAATTTTGTCCCATATTATTCAACCTTGACTTCTTTTAATAGATCTCAAGCTTCTGCAATTAGATGAATCATAATCCTTGGTCATGACATACCTTCCTGGTCTATCTATCTATCTATCTATCTATCTATCTATCTATCATCTATTACCTATTTATCTATGTATTTACTTATAACTATAAACCCATCATCAACTCACCAGCTTGAACCTTGACAATCACATCTAGCTATTAGACGCCCCCCCCACTTCACTCCCCAACTACCCTACCTGAAGTAATAACTCTCCTGAATCTTTTCTCGTCAATCCCTTACTATGCTTTTAAGATAGTATTATTTATTCTATACGAAGTCCTAAAGATAATATTTTTAAAAAATTTTAGTTGTTTCCCACTTTATCAAAGGGTCACATGTAACTTTGGGGGGCTACATTCTTACTTCTTGATTTCTTTTTAGTAAGTTTACCCTCAGAGGGTGACTTGGTCTCACATTCTGTGGGTGACTATAGCTCCCTTTATTCTTGTGTAAAGTGCATATCACAGATTAAAACCTGGGGAAGTGGGTTGGCCTGCCCAGAGTCACCCCGTGAATGTAGGCAGAACCAAGGCTGGGACCCAGTTGTCCTAAGTCTTGGCCCACTGCTTATTCTCTACCCAGCAACCTTTCTTTTATTTATTTTTTAATTGAGGTATAATTGACATAAAACATATTAGTTTCAGGTGTACGACATAATGATTCAATATTTGTATATAGTGTGAAAGAGTTATTAACAACATAACAGCCACCACCTCATATAATTATAATCTTTTTTCTTGTGATGGGAAATTTTAAGATCTACTTTTAACAGCTTTCAAACCGACAATGCAGCGTTTTAACTGTAGTCACCATGCTGTACATTACAGCCCCATGATATTTATTTTATTTTTTAAATTTTTTAAATTTCATTTTATGATGATGATGATGATGTTCAGTTCCCACGACATTTATTTTTTAACTGGAAGTTTGTAACTTTTGACCCCCTTTGCCCATTTTGCCCAAACCCCACCCCCACCTCTGCCAACCCCCAATCCGTTCTCTGAGCGCTTCATTATTATTGTGTTTAGGTTCCACATACAAGTGAGATCATACAGTGTTTGTCTTTCTCTGTCGGACTCTAGCAGCCTTTCTTTAGGAAGCTGGATGTAGGAAGGTCCATTGTCCTTGGGTGGCTGGTCTAACACTCCAGAATAGTATTTATGAGATCGGTCGGGAAGCTGATTTCTTTCGGTTTTTCTTTCCCAAGAATACTTACACTCTAGGAGACGGCCCCTGGAGCCAGCAGGTGAGGAAGCCTGAGGCACCAGGGATGGCGACAGTCCTCCCTTGGGGGAAATACGATGCTGCCTGGAGAACGATGATTCCCTTCCATCTCAAGCCAAAGTGAGTTCTGAGGGGGAGGCGAGGGGCAGTAGCCTTCAGGGCAATGTTCCTCAGACCCTAACACCTACACCCTTCCCAAAGATGTCTCCACATGTCTCCACACAATCATGTCACCCACCAGAGCCAAATACCTCCAGAGCAGCCTGAGGCACATCAGGGAGGCAGAGTCAGCTCATTCACTCACTCGTTCGGTCATTCATTCATTCATCCATCCAACAAGGATTCATTGAGCACCTACATGTGCCAGGCACTGTGCTAGACCTCAGGGGAACAGCAGTAAGCAAGACAGACATGATCCTTGCCCATCATGGACCACACATTGGGGGGAAAGACAATAAGCAAGTAGACTCCTAACCTAAACATGGTTATAAACTCCTTGAAGGTATTATGAAGAAGTGTGGGGGTGCTGAGGGACAATGGAACAGCGACAGCTTGGTAGGTTCTTGGTGCTTAAGCTGTGCCCTGGAAGATAAACAAGAATCTACTAGGCCAGAGTAAAGGAAGAATGATCTGGGCAGAGGGACCAGCATGTGCCAAGACCCCATCTTGAGGTGGAAAGAACGCAACATGACATGTCCGGGAACTGAGGAGGCCAGTGTCACTGGAGTCATGTGTGATAAGGGATGTGGCATGAGATGAGACTGCAGAGGGATGCAAGTCTCCACAGGGCACATTCAGTATGTTGGTCTTCATTCTAAGAGAAATGAAGATTGTTGAAAGGGCCCAAATGCCCTATGGTGTTACCATTAAACTTAGGAGTTAAAGAAATTCAATGTATCCTTGTCCAGTAAAGCATAGTTGAAAACAACCATCCTCCAATGTCTTTGGGACTCATACAGTCTTGCTCTCGGGGGCCTGCACAGAACTCATTTATTCATCATGTATGGACAGGACCTTAACATTCCTCTAGGCTGATTCTTCAGCATTTTGTCACCAGGACTCCATTTTGTATGTACAATCCTCTCTTCTCTCTCTCATGTTTGCTAAGATTTTTTTTTTTAATTTTTTTTCATGTTTGCTAAGATTTTATCTATCAAAGAAACTGCCGTTGTTTTCCTATTTTTAAAAAACTTGAGGTCCCCTCACTACTAGCTACATT